TCATTTTCTGCAGATCTGGAGAGAGGAGATGCAGTGGTGTACCTAGGCAAGGCCATTATCCCTGAAGAAGTGGACAAGTAATGTCACTACTGCACTATCCATTCTTTAACATTACACGCCGCATGCATACGTTGGGAGGTACCCATCTGATTCTCTTTCGATTTTGTTAATGTTCTATGAAGTGCACTGATTTGCTTGTGGGTAATAAGGGTTCGAGTCTTGAGGCGGTGCATCTGAGGGTGGAAAAACCTTGCAGGACCTCAATTGTCTGCCTCTAGAGTTCGAACGAATGGAGGTCGGAACATAACACACCGACAAGTAATAGAATAGGGGATTCTGTGGCAATGACATTTATTATCTTTTTATTTGTTACAAACACCTGAATCCTGCTTTTAAAAGGGGATATGATGATCAAAATGGTAAGCTTGATGATGAATTGAACAGGGTTCGGGCCAACTGGTTGGACAAGGCTAAGCAAAGCTAAGCTTGTGTGCGGTTGAATGAATTGTGAGAGGAAAAACATGTCATATGCAGAGCAGGCAATTTCCATTTCCAATTTACAGGAGAAGCAACTGATATCTCTGATGGTAAACCAAAAATGATACTTGTTGTAGTGATAGATATACAATATGCGCCTTAGTATTATACCAGTTTCGCAAGAGTGGAAGCCTGCTGTTCCCTTCTCTTGCATTATAAATTTTGACACGACTTATAATATCAATGTTATTGAAAATATAATTAATCAAAATTAATATTTTTGAAATTTTATTTAAACTTATACAATTTATATACTATTTAATTTTATGAAAAGAGTATATTATTTTAAAAAGTGACTTTTGGTAGGTTATTTTTACATACATTTGCAGTTGTTTAAATTTATAAAAATAATGAAAGGTTTCATTTTTCCTTGTATCTTTGGGTACATACACATACCCTTCAAACGTCGTTACTTGACTTCAAAACCTTTAAGAAAATTATCATTCATTTTTATTATTGATGCAATTTGATAGGTTTTGTTATTTGACAACTTTTATCTACCTACTATGAAAGAGATAACCCCTTTATCTAATTGACACAATTAATGGTTTTAATTTTTTTTGTCGATTTTTTTATCAAATTAACATGCGAGTTGCATTTTTTCATTTTAGGTGTACAAAATTTAAAAGATTGTGTTAATTTGAGGAAACAACATTCTCTCTTGCAATTACATCAATCTGAAAAAAATATTTTTAAGACAATATTTTTACTCCAACATAACGTATCATTTTACATTATTTTATTTTAAGAGGAATAATTTATAAATCGTTTCCCTCTTTTTATTATTTTATTATTAAGAGGAATAATTTTCTGGGATGTATTTTTCTTCTATACAAGCATACTCTTTAAACTAAATTTCATCATTGTAGAGAACACCCAGAGCTTGAAATCGCTAACAAGAGCTCGAAAGATCCATAAACTAAAGAGAATAAATGCACAACTTTTTCTGTGAGACAAAAAATTGTTTAGGAAACAAGAATATAGGGTTTGCAAGGCAAGAAATCAGTCGAATTTCAATAAATTCTGACGTGATTTATTGAATTTGAACACATTTAATTTTTTTCCTCTTAATTTAACGAGGGAGTCAAATGGACAGTCAACGCTCGTACCTTTGTTGAAACGGGGATGCCAGCTACATCAGACTTGTTTTACCCAGGAAATGACAGAAACATTAGTGACTTTTGTGTAATTTAACCTTTAAATAAAGAAAGAAAAGGAAAACAAGAAAACTATTACATCCAAAATTGACAAGCATATGTTCTACTTCATGCATTCAATCTATAAGCGATGCAGGATAATATCATTTCCTATCAAAATCAATTCCATTCATGCATATAAGCATTTATTTTCAAGTACAATTGCAATCCATTGCTCAAGCTTTCCAGCACTGGTACTAATTTAGACTTTTAACACAAAATTGTTTTAACATAAACATAAATCATGTGATCTTTTCATAGAAAAAAATGTTCCTCCCCGAGCCAGCAGATAATCCGAATTCCAAACCCAAACAACTTCGACTCAAAAAGTACCTCTATGTTTTTTGTTTTTCTCTTTGATCACACCGTTGGTCAGTGAATCAACATCGTTATTCTTCCCCAAAAACTTTACAAATTCCATATTAGGATCCATCAAGTACCTGCATACAAAGAATAAACAAGGACCAATGTCAATAGGAGTTTGAATTTTACATGGATTATTAATGTGAGAGCAAGAAACAAGCTCACATATCATAGCCTTCCTACAAGCAGTGCATGAATGAAATTCCAATGGCAGGCAACAAAATGGTTTCAATGTAGTAATTTCACCATAAACAAATGGTGCAAGTTGATGGGTTTAGGAACTTTAAAGCAGTATCACATGAGTTCACATTACCGGCATTGCTCCCTTCGAGAGTCAAATCGATAAAGTGGTTCAATGTTTAGTAATTTTCCCTTGCTAAGACAATTAAGTCTTCGTTAGGAAAAATTGATAACCTTCTCTCATCTCATTGATCAAACAACTCTAGCCTGTAAAATGTAATATTTTTTTCCATTTTGATATTTGCTATTTTATCTACATCGACATACACCAATTTCCTATCATTCTACAGGTCGCAAGACTGTGCCAGTCAACATCATGCTGATACAGACAGAACATGCAGGTCAAATCAAACAAAGCTAATAGTTACATGACTATAGAATGATCAACCTCAGCTGTCTTCATATAATAAACTCGATATGCACGAGCAACTTTCTTTATCTCATCAGTGCTACCAGTTAACCCTACTAATTTTGGGTGAAACTCTGCAAAAGTGGAGAAATAATTACAGAGCTAAAAGTTCCGATGAACCAAATTATAATTAGCATAAGTACCGGGACCAAAAAAATCATACTTTTTAATATTAATATAAGTACCATTCACGTATTCATGTACTTGCTCAACGGTATCTCTTTTAGGATCAACAGAGATAAATACAGGCAAAATTTCTATTCCAGCCTTTTCCTCTAAGAAGTGAAAACAAAAGAAGAAACCAAAAAGAAATTAATGTTACTATAATGCCACCGATCAGTAGAGTTGTTTCTAGTCTAATAAATTCATAATCAATTTAATTTCTATGATTATAAGCAAATTTTTATCTAAACAAAATAGCAATACATAATTTTATTTTCCGGCCAAATGATTTATGAAACTACGAGCAACATACTTATTTTGTCAATAGCAGCAGTTAGCTTTTGCAGCTCATCTGGACAGATATCTGGGCAGTGAGTGAAGCCAAAATATATCAAACTCCACTTCCCCATAAAGTCCTTCTCAGTAACACGTTTGCCTTCATCATTTATAAGACTGAATGGCCCCCCGATGGCTGCTTTTCCAGCAGTTGGCCCTTCTTTAACTGCCTTTGAAGCATTACTTATTTCTGCAGCAGCAAAACGTAGAGTCTTCAACCAAAATATGCAGGAATGTAGAAATACTACTATGAACTGAAACTGCAGAACGTTTATTGAATTGCTTTCTTAACGTTTACAAAGCTTTGCTTTATATACACTCTACTTAGCTCACACAGTTTGCATGCACTCAGCATTAACTGCTGTAACCACTTAACCGTTGTGATAACAACTCTACAACACCTGAAACAGTTCCTCAACTGCTTATTAACAACCAACCAACCTTGGTGCACAGCGCACCTACATCCAACATTCCCCCTATTTTTTCCTTTGTTTTTCAAATGAACAAACCCTAACCTGATCTCGAAAGTACTCAAAAGCACCTCGGGCTAGTGGTTTGGTAAACCCATCAGCAACCTGATGAGAGGCTGGCACGTATCGAACTCACAGTTGTTTGGTAGCCACCTTTTCACGTACAAAGTGTACATCGAGATCGACATGCTTTGATTGCGCATGATAAACCGGGTTAGCACTCATTGCTATAGCACCCGAGTTATCACACCAGACCGTTAGTGTCGTACCCGAGACTTCACCTAAATCAGCAAGCACAACATTCATCCAGGTGACTTCTGCAGCCGCATCAACAATGCTTTTATACTCTGCCTCCATGGTTGATCGAGAACTTTTTTGTTTTCTTGACAGCCAGGACACCAAGCAATTACCAACGAACTCACAGTGGCCAGACATTGACTATCTGTCATCCACATCACCTCCCCAATCCGTATATAAAAATGCAGTGATGGAAGAGTAGACTCACAGAGAAAACACTAAACCATAGTCCACTGTGCCTGCCAAGTATCGTAACCCTTTTAACCACCAAAATACGATTCACGAGGAGCTTGCATATATTGTGCAACCTTGCTCACGCTTAGAGCAACATCAGGGCGTGTGGCATACGTATAGTAGGAGCTAACTATACTTCGAAATTCATAAGCATCAACCAATGGATTGCCATCATCCTTAGACAGTTTGTTGGCTACAATCATAGGCGAGGTGGTGGGTTGGCTCAAGTCAGCTGTGCTTTTGCCAATAGCTCGAGCACAAACTTCCTTTGACTTAAAATAATAGAATCACCACACCGCTGAACCTCAATACAGGAAGTAAGAAAGGTCACCAAGGTCTTTTAGTGAGAATTGTTGTTGAGTTCCCATATGACACGTTGAAATGTAACCCGATTTACCTGTTAGTATAATATTGTACGTAAACGAGGATGAACGTACGAGAGCCTGCTTGATTGTTAACAAACAAGGAATTGTCAGCTTTGGACTCTCGAAATCCCAGTGCAATTAAACTGGAGCGAAGCTTGTTGTTCCAGTTGCGTGGTGCTTGTCGTAAACCATAAAGTGCCTTATGTAACTTGCACACGAGAGACTTGCCATCAGGATCACACACCTCAAAGCGGCGGTTGCTTCATAAACACATCTTCAGCCAGTCTACCGTTGAGGAACGCGTTGTTGACATCAATATGTCAAAGCGGCCATTTCTTTGATACTGCCAAGGACAAGATGATATTGATTGTGGAAAAACGAACAACAGGGCTGAAGGTTTCCTGAAAGTCTTGCCCTGGTACCTGGGAGTACCCCTTATCAACCAGGCGCGCCTTATGTCTCTGCACAGTACCATAAGTGTTCTTCTTAATTTTAAAAAGCCACTTGCATCCAATAACAGACCTCCTTATGGGAGTTGAACCAGAGTCCAGGTTCCATTTTGTTACAGAGCATTGAGTTCATCATGGATAGCCGCAGTCCATTTTTCTGATTGAAATGCTTCGTGCACAGTTGTTGGAATTACTTCATCATAGCTGCTGATAAAGGTTTTATGCTTGAAGACAACAGTCTACTGCGTGTGCACATCAGATGAGCATTAATTATTGTATTCGATCGCAACAACGTGGTTGGCTCAGCTGTCGAGTGTTCAGGCACCTGAGATTCATGGCTCGCTACTTCATTAGAGACAAAACCTGTGGGAGTAGGCAGATGCTTGGGATGGTGAAGTGCACTGATCCTTGGTAGGTAGCACATTCGAGACAGTGCGTAGGGGAGTTTTGAGAATGAGTAGAGATGATGTACCCATGGGGGAGCATGCAAACACGCATGGTCTCTAGGTATATGCATATGTAAGTGTTGTGGCTGCACCACTATATCCAATGGAGACAACTACTTTCGAGCTGGACCGCGCGTGCATTGTAAGTCTGCATAAGGAAACATTGATTCATCAAATTTTACATGGCGAGATATGTAGACTCGTCCATCTACTTCAAGGCATTGATAGCCCTTGTGTTGGGCTATACCCTAGGAAGACACACTCCTGGGAGCAAAACATGAGTTTTTGCGTTTGAAAAGCACGCAAGTGGGGATAACACCTGCATCCAAATACTTTCATGAAATTGTAGTCAGTTGCCTATGGAATAGTTTTCAAAAGGTGCAACACCTTGTAACACACGCATAGGAAGACGATTAATAACAAACAGCTGTGACAACAACATATGACCAGAATTTCAAGGACAAAGTGGACTGAGCTAGAAGCACAAGGGCCAACTCAATCAGTGTCGATGTTTTCGCTCCACAACATTGTTCTGCTCAGAGGTATGTGGACAAGTCACACGATGAATGATTCATTCTTTAGCCAGCAGACTGTTTAGTGGTCTATACTCACCACCCCAGTCGTTTGGAATAGCTTTAATAGGCATATTAAACTGTGTGGCAACCATGTTTTTAAACATCTGGAATACAATTATGAGCTGAGACTTGTCCTTGAGTAGATACAACCAAGAGTGTCGAGTGCAAGCATCCAAAAATGCAATATAGTACCTGAACCCATTCGAGGTGTGGGTACAGGACCCCATAGGTCAGAAAAAACAAGTTGAAATGGTTCAGAATATTCAGTCTTCGAGTGTTCAAAAGGTAGTTTGTGACTTTTCCCAATACAAAAAGTCGAGCAAATTTTATTGGCATTATTTAAAATGTTTACATACAATTGATTACAAACAGATTTCAACGTCTTAAAAGAGGGATGCCCCAAGCGTCTATGCCATAGATCATACGCTTCTGAGGTTGCAACAATGTTAGCACTGGCCTGACCTTCAAATTGGCTCTTGTCACTAGCCAGCTCAAACGAGTAAAGACCGCCATTCTGCTTCACTCGAAGAAGTACATTACCAGTAACTTCATCCCGAAACAAACAATCATTGGCATAAAATTCAAGGAAGACATTGTTGTCTCTAGCAAGCTTGGACACCGAAAGCAGGTTTTTAGTTATCTTAGGCACATGTAGGATGTTAGTTAGCAGTAGTGCTTGAGATTGAGAGGATATTAAAGTATTACCAACAGATTCTACAGGAATGGATGCACCGTTGCCAATAAAAATATTACTTGATCCCCTATAATAAGAGGGTTGTGCAATCTTGGTAGCATATGGGTGGTTACATGGTGGCACCAGAATCCACTACCCAGTGGTCGCGTGAAGAAGAGATAACATGGCTTGAGGAGTCAATAGTTATTCCTTTACCATAGTAGTCATATTGTGTGTTTTCCAAAGTTGATGTCACCAGACTAGTTTTACGTCGATGTGATCACTGCCATCACAAGAAGTCTCGATCGAACCGGTTACCAGTACTGCTGAACAAGTGACCACCTTACCACATAGTTGACACTGTACGCGAGATGCCCTCGACCACGACCTCTTGAGCGACCACCAACATATGATTTTCGATTTAAATCTTGATTGGATCTAGAGTCAGAGGCAACACGGACTCACAGCCTGTGCCACTTGGCACTCATTAGAAGGCTATCTACTGAAAACTCAAAGCCAGCAAGCTGAGTTTCAGCATCAATCAGCATGCTGCTCACAACGTCTAGCGTGGACTTCTCGCGCATGGTGGTTATGACCGCCATGAAGGATTGATATTCACGGGGCAACCCTTTGAGAATACTTACAATCTGCTCGACTGGGGTAACAGGGCTCCCACACGATTCAAGCGTATCACATACTTCTTTAACACGGTAAGGTAAGCTCTCATGTTGTCATCTCATTTCTTGAGGGATTACAATTTGTATAGCAAGTTTATCACTGCTGTGGTAGAGTGATTAGCAAAAAATTGAGTCATCTTATTCCATACAACAGCTGTTGTCTCGGCACCAACGAATTACGTAGCACTGGTGATGGTGGAGAGTAGCCAAAACGCGAGAGCACTGTCTTGGGCCATGAAGTCCTCAAAGGCTTTCGTTTGCAACGACCTCGCCATTCTAATCAACAACCATTTCTGGTGGTGCTGGCATCGAACCATTCAACAATTTTTCCAAGCGATGACTTCGAATTGTAAGTAACACTTGCTGTTTCCACAACAAGAAGTTCATTTCATCCAACACAACGTTCACTTTCTTGTTAGTGAACACTAAGAGCGCATCAGCGAGCCCCCTCCAGAGGTGGAGAAGATATTCGGGATGTCAAGGGCCATCACCGCAGCCGGAGTTTAGAAGCCAAGATCTTCAGCAAAAGATACCATGTAGAAATACTATTATGAACTGAAACTGCAGAACATTTATTGAATTACTTTCTTAACGTTTACAAAGCTTTGCTTTATATACACTCTACTTAGCTCACACAGTTTGCATGCACTCAGCATTAACTGCTGTAACCACTTAACTGTTATGATAACAACTCTATAACAGCTGAAACAGTTCCTCAACTACTTATTAACAACCAGCCAACCTTGGTGCACGGTGCACCTACATCCAACAAGGAAAGAAAAGGCAATATGATACTAGTGATGACTAATTCAAAATCAGAGACATTTCATCCATCATCAAGCTGAATCAGAACAATTCTTTCCAGCTACAGTTTAAATGTTTTTCATGACACTATTTACTAATTACTAGTATATATAAAAGCCAAAAATGAAAAACGAGATCCAAAATTTCTAATCCAGAAAGGGAATTTAAAAACAAAAGAACCAAGTAGAAGCCAAAATGAAAAATGAAATACCGTTCCACGAATAGGTTTTCCAGCACCACTGCCACAACTCTGTAGCGAAACTCCAGTGTTTTGTGTCCCTTCAGAATCGGTTTTTGATGATGATGATGATTTCTCTTTATTTTCATTAGGAGTTGTGGTGGTGTTAGATAAATATCTTCGATAATTCGAAAGGAATTGAATTCAGCTCCAACATAAGTATTATGTGAATCGGGGATTTAAATAGTGTTCGCGGTCACGTTTATCGTGATTACGGATATAACAGATGTTATCGCATTCGCTGCGGGTATCACGTTCGCTGCGGGTGTCGCGATCGTAATTTTTTTAATTTCGCACAACTTATCATAAAACATTATAATTATAATTATAAGGAGTCTTTTTAATGATTTTTAGAATGTTTTCAAAGAAAAAATGATATATTTAATATAATATAATGTAATGTAATGTAATGTAATGTAATGTAATGTAATGTAATGTAATGTAATGGAATGTAATGCAATGTAATGCAATCTAATGCAATGTAATGTAATGTAATGTAATGCAATGCAATGCAATGCAATGCAATGCAAATGTAATGTAATGTAATGTAATGTAATGTAATGTAATGTAATATAATGTAATATATAATATAATATAATATAATATAATATAATATAATATAAAATCGATGAAGAAATTTTGAAAAATATGTGAATTTTTTATTGTTGAAGAAACTAAAATAATGCACCATCTTTGGGCTCACAATTGAAGCATATCACAAAACATAAGTTCATTGAATATCAAAAGAGTCAATTGCTCTTTTAATCTTTCATAGTTACAAATTTTTGACAAAGTCAGGATCGACAAGTTGGTTTTGAGGTAGCTACCTAAATTTTGAGGTTTGTTTCATCGACTCATCATTTTTCATTTTCTCGGTCCTTGTGAACATTATGACACGCCCCTCTTTCTTGGCTTGACATTTTGATCGGATGCGGACAAAATGACACAACTAACATAGTCAATTGCTAAACTTTTTAGAATATTTCTATTTCTATTCTCTGAAATCTTACATTTGTTCAAGCTTTATATACTCCTTTAGTAAAGACAGTGCAGAAACATCGATCTAAAAACATAATTCCTGTGTTTTGTGTGAAGTTGACTATAATAGATGTTTCTCAACTCCCTTAGTTCATCATCCACCGATACTCCTTATTAATTCAAACCTTGGACTTTTGTCATTTCCTTGAATTATTTTTCTTTGAAGTATTTTGGCATAGCTGAGAGATTCATCTTGTCACAAAATCTTTGACTTGATAGCCACAATGGAGCAAACACCAAACTGACAAGTATCCGATCATTGTCACTATTTGAATATAATTTATTCATAAAGCATGCTTTTGAGTTGTCTCTCTAACCAATTGCTTTAGCGAGATAGCTATAGCTTTATTGCATTTACTTTATAAAAAATAATTCATTAATTTTCTGGGTATTAGGATTCAAGATTTCTTAAGCTCGTTAAGAAGAATCTATTATAGTCAAGGTGTCGTTGGAGGTCAGAGAATTTCCATCTTTAGAGTTCAATTTCCAAGCAACTGACCTAAACTAAATTCATTTACCTAACTATTCCATTTGTGAAGATCATGATCGTCATCGAACATCATTCACAGAAGTATAATCTAATCAGCTTCGCAAGATCATACACATGAGATGCCCCATTTTGTCCTCTTCTAACACATATCTGAATGCCAAACCTTTTGAGTGTCTATTCGTAGTAGTAGATGGTTATCTTGGTCCCAATAAGAGAAGGGTGTGATATTCGGGTGTAGCTTTTGGATTAAGATCAAGGATTCTTGTTTTGCAGAGGTTCAATCTTGTCATTTGTCTAAGATTTATAACCTCAATTATTAAAGAGCTTTTAATTGAGTTGATATTCAAATAATTTCAAGATTAAAATTTACTCATTACTCATAACCTTAGAAGGTAACATTTTATTTAAAATGTTCTAGTGTCAAATGGCTTACAAACATTTAAACATAGGAAGAAAGAAAAACAAGTTCAAACAAGATGAAATACTTTTGATGTGAGTGAAACAAAAATTCCTAATAGATGCCGTAACCTACTCCTGATCAGAATACCCCATTACACATCGAATGTCCATGCCCCTAAATCAATCAGATTTTAGACCTTACACTTTAATGCCCTAAAATTCTCACTGGTGTGCCCTGAGCTACCTATATGGTAGCTACATATGGCGGTAACATCATGGCCTTTAGGATATGGGCCTCTTTTAGTTTGAATTGAACTGAAGTCACAAGGTTCTTCTCAACTAGCGTTGGGAGCAATTCCTTATATGCCATTGGAATTGGATTGATGAGAGTATTTTCACGGAACACCTTATGAGGTTTGGACCCCTTATTAGCTAGATAAGATCTTACTTTGTTAATCTCAGCTCTTTTCTCAATATCAGTACTGCTAGTGCCTTTTATCTTGCCATTCTTGACAGCTCTTTCAATCATTTCTCCACACATGATGATGTCAGGGAAACTCTTAGTGATGCCCTCTAACATGTGGTTAATATATGAAGATTTTAATATATCGATGAATAATGTGATGAATTCACTTTCAGTCATTGGTGGATGCACTTGAGATGCAACATCCCTCCATCGTTTGGCATATTAACGGAAGCCCTCATTACGCTTCATATATATATTTTACAATGTTGTTCGATCATGGTCCATATCAATCATGTGCTTGTATTGACCCAAAAAGGCATGAGTCAAATCCTTCAATGAGCAGATTTGAATACGACTCAGTTGATTATATCACTTAAAAGCGAGTCCAGTCAAACTGTCTTGAAAGTAGTGGATCGAAATCTTATCATTGTTGGTGTGTCCATCCATCTTCGAATAAATATCGTGAGATGGGTAATAGGGCAATTGGTTCCATCACACTTTTCAAAATCGGGCATTTTGAATTTGGGCGGGAGCACCAAGTCAGGAACCATGACTAGTTCACTTGCATCCATTTCATTATAAGAGCTTTGTCCTCTCGTTCCTTTGAATGTAGCTCTGCACCAATTTTTTAAGTTCTTAGGGATCTCATTATCGATTTTTTTCATCTCATCAGGATTGGACATGTTGTGATTAGTAGGATTATCCTCAGGATCTAACACAGTTGCTTGAGTCTTAGTGGCAGAGAAGCCTACTTGGTGGTTTGGAAGCCTCTCGGGTGAAATGAGTTGTTGTGGATTAGCCTGTGCCATCAGACACTCAGAGGTTTCCATGGACAAGGAATATTCTCTTTGCCTCTTTCTTGGTTGATCCCAATCAATTTTACTACAATTTGGTCAACCAGGTTGTCTTGGTTTTGCAAGATGTGATCCATAGTGACCTTTTGCGCTTGCTCTATTTTAGTTTCCCAATCTGTTTGCATCCTTTGCAAATTCTATTTCAGTTCTTTCTTTAGTTTCTCCAATTTTGCTTCCATTCTTAGTACTGTGTGAATGAAATTTTGTAGTTAGAAACATCTCCTCAGAGTCATTCACGAAATAAATCCATGTATCCAAGATTAATAAATGAAAAAATGCCTAAATAAATGTCATGCATAATGCAAAAATGTGAATGTGAATACAAAAAAATGTTGATCCCAAAGATGAATATCATAAAACAGATTTCATTAGAGAAAAAAGTCTTCACTATTACAATATAGTCCATCTTTACAGGCATGCTCTCATTTGGTCTAAAGTAGGTTGATGCTTTATCTTTGTTCTCTCTAGACTTCCTTTAGCCATTAGTGCATGTCAATGTATGCGACTATTTGATTGAAACTTTTTTCTCTCTTTTATGAAACATTTCTATTTGATAGTCAATTGCATATCAACACCTTTCCATTATGTCATGACAATGCAATGCAAAAAAAGGAGATAAATGACACAAAAAATGAGAAGAAATGAATTAGTATAGACAAAATAATTAATAGAGTTAAAAATGCTATTTAAAGATAAATATAACACCTACCAAATCATGATATCTACCCAATCATGATATCTACCCAAACATGCTTTAATTAAATAACAATCCTACCTGAACATGTTTTTTGCCCAAAATGATTTACTTCAAAAAATTATCCTATTCACATGGTATCTAATTCACAACTTTCAAAATAAATATATTCTATGAATTTAAAGCAAAATGTAAAGGTTTAGAATCGTTCGTCCTTCGTGTACACTTATTTCGGTGCCTACTAATGGGAAGAGGTTATGTATGGCTCTACCTAGGGCGACTACTCTATGATTCACTATATGTATGGTTTCGGCTCTAACAGGGAAATGTACTCGAATTGTCCTTGTTGTCGGTGCCTCTTGAGCTGACAAACCCTCAATCCCCACCCATTATAGGCTTAAACAAATCAAGTTCAATTCAAAGTGATTCATTTCCTTATACCCATATAAGGAATAAATCCCTACAAAGGTATAAGGTATGTGTACCCCAAAGGTTATTTGCTAAAGCTCATACGAAGAATAAATTTTTACGAGAGCAAAGCGTTCACCCTTACTTAATTAGGATAGAGCTTGCATGTAGAGCTTATGTCATGTAAATGCATATAAAGAGTGTGAGGAGGAACATACAAACCTTCGGCCAAACAAAACAACAAAAAAAATAAAAGGAGTACTTTCGAGAGAAATTTTGGTGAAGTTGAAAACATGAATTTAAACATTAGTACAACTATTTACATAAAGAAATAATGCAAAATTCAATAAAAGGATCATAAGCTAATTATAGACTCGGTCTGACTCTCTAAAGTGTCCCAGCGGAGTCGCTAAGTTCTCGTAACGTCTTTTTTGACGAACGAATAAATTTTTGATGAAAACATCGAATTTGCGACTTATTTGATAAAATTGAATTTTTGTGTTTATTTTGATTAAATTGGTTTGGAGTCACCATCGACCTTTGAGTTAGGTAGGTTAAACACCTAAAAACATCTTTTTAAACAATTTTAAGAAAAATCATTTTTAAGACAAAAAACTGATATGTGCTTGTCAAAGATTTCTTTTAGGTTCGGGAGTTGATTACGGGTGAGGAAGGGTTAATAACCCCACAATGCCTAAAATTGGTTCCTAATCGCTTGTATATTGTCGTGGTGGAAATTAAAAAATTCAAATAAATATTTAAGGTGTGATCCATTTATTTAACATTAATTAATTTATTTTGAATTAATTATTAGGGAACATTCCTTATATTTGAGAAGAAATCACGGGATTTACACATCCTCCAAGAGGAAGACTATCTCATCTATTTCTCCTTTATATAAGAAATATCTCCCTCCCCAATATTGGCAAAAAAGCGCAAATCGAATATAAATTGAATATCAGTAATTGCATAAAATTACTTACTACTTAAAGAAACATGCATTGCATCATTTGAATTAAAATAAAAACGAATTAATTATCATTTTTATAAAAATAAACTCGACTTATTTCAAGCTCATTTTTCGTTCGAACGTCGTATCGAATCGTACTACTTCGATCAAGTAATGTTTTTCACACCCATTCTACGATAGGGTGTTCTTGAAAACATTCAAATAAAAAATTTAAAAATAAAATTAACATCAAGTATAAGAAATATAAAAATGTTGACAATTGGGTATTTTATAAAATAAATAAATAAGATCAAACGAAATAAAATAAAAATTAGTAATATATATAAATATACTAGGGTCAAGGAATATTAAGTAAATATATACACACATATATAAATAATATGATATAACATATACAGATAACAAAGACCAAATAATAGTAATAAGAATAATAATGATAATAAACATACTTATATAGTAAAAATAAAAAGTAATATAGACCAAATTATGTGAGGATTAAATCAGAAGAGAAACAAAACAGTAAGTATGAAATATATAATATACCCATGAAAGCTCACATTCAAAAGTGAAAGCAATGACTAAAATAAAATAATATAAAGATCAGTGACAAATTTCAAAGAAATAACATAGCAAAAAGGTGACTAAATTGAAACAAAATAAAGAACATAAGCAAAATATAAAATAAATAACATGTAAAAAGTGACCAAAATAAAATAAAATGAAATTTGCATTAAAAAAATAAATAAAGAGGAAGATCAGGTGACCAAGTTGCAAAATCACGTCAAACTTAGGGGGACTATATGGTGATTAACTCTAAACTTTATGTATAACATAATTTATTAATCTAAAAAAACCTAAACTATACCTAAAGTAAAACAAAAAGGGAAAAAAACTCTCACCTCTTTTTCTCACCATGCGACCGACCATCCCCTTGGAGACCAAACACCTCAAACACTGGCTACCAGGCTCCGACTGGCGGCCGAGGGAAGCCCAGGTAAGCCTGGACAAAACCCAAATGCACTAAAGACCCTCATTGTTTTCTTTTCTAAATGATGTTTTTTTAGTTTCAAATCAAAATGTTTGCATGAAAATTAAAGAAAAAATAAACCTCTTGACAACTGTCATTTTCGATGTCAAAAGAAATTCATTTTTCTCAATTAATAAATAAGGAAATACATAGTAGAGAGAAATAAAGGTCGAATCCTCAGGGACATAGAAAATCACAATTTTATGTTTGAATGGTTCTAACCAGGCGAAAATAGTAAAAAAAAAGGGGTTTATAATATGAGATTTAAATAGTAAAAAATAAATAAAAGCAATTAAAGTAAAAATAAGAGGGTAAAGATTGTGAATAAATACGGTAAAAATAGCCTTAAGCTTTGCTTTGACTCAATTTCCATTAGATCATCGAATAAGATTTTCCCTCCGGGATTCCGTCAGTTACTTTGTTTTCAAGGGCTATCCCCGTGACACTATCTTGTATACCGAATACCCAAGGCAATCTTTGATTCGGCTTCGGGAATTGATTCTATCAACATCAATTATCGTAGATCAATTACCATTTAAGTTCGTGGTGACCGACTCGGATTGTTGCTTCAATAACAGTCAATTTCAATCTCAATTCCTTCTTTGTGAAGCCATCTCGCCAAGTGTGTTCCCAGGAAGTTGAATTTTCTTTCTATAAGCCGAATCTTCCTCCCACACATTTAATTGCAACCTCTTGACCAAAGTCAATATTTGATTTTGAAAAATAAGCACAGAGATTGAGAGAGATATTCCAAAGATATTAAGGGTCTGTTTCAATTCTCCTGTTGGAATTGTATCATCGAGTCATCTCTCGGCTTATGAAAAGTTTAGCTAAGCATGACAAAAGCTATACTTAGCATATTAAAAACAAAACTTGGAAATAAGAAAAACTTGAAAAGTAAAAAGAGAAAACTTTATTAAAAACTAGAGAGAAAAGAATATTGTAATTTGAGTAATGAGTTTAGGCTTACCCCAAGTGGGTATTTATATCCTCTCAAAGCCTAAGGATAAACAAAGAAAATAAAATAATCCTAAAGATAATTGTTTTTAAATTTAAATTCAAACTTAAACTAGTCCCCTAATGCAACTCTGCTCGTGCATCTTCCAGAAGGCGTGCAGAGGAAGTCTTCTAGAAACCGCCGCTGACTGGACCTTCTAGAAACTGCCACGTCAGACCGCGTCGTGCCCAGAGTTGTGCCCATGTCTCCAACTATGACCAAATAAAAAAATGCAGAATATACCCGTTTTTTCACTAATTCTGGAAAGTAAGGACCTGCACGAAAACAAGCATAATACGACCAAATCAGCAGCAATAATTCCACAAAATCCAATAAATAACGAGCAAATATTAACTATTTTGAACACTCATCAAATTCCCCCTCACTTATCTCATGCTTGTCCTCAAGTATGATTAATCAAATCAGTCAAAAATTTCATTTACCGGTCTTTGTCAAGTTTCACATTAGAGGAAGCAAGGTAGAGACCACAATAACTATTCAAGTCAAGAAATCAATCAATTGAACATCACTAATTGGAACAAGTCAAGTGCAATTCTAATATCCATTCATTCATTAATCTCAATGCTTATAATTCAACGCCTTACCGGGATTCACTCAAATCACTCATTGTGTTTGGAGGTAAAGAAACACTCAATGTCAGAAAAATCGACACGATATTACCATAGGCCTGCAAGTAAATCAAATCTCCACTAATAATGAGAACATGATGCATAAATCAAAGGGTCTTTTATTGGTTGTAACGGAGCTTAGGTAAAGGTGGGAAAAAGCTAAATATATGGTTAAATGTTCAAGGCAAGAAACTAACAAATAATTTCAGGTCCATCAAAACAATCATTAAGCGCAACAAGATAAAAAGACA